AGAGAAATGGCCTCATGGCCGGTTTCTGATCCAACGGGCCGAAGGTTGCACTTATTTCTAACTTTCTTGTCTTAATAGTCTTTATAGTCTTTGTAACCTTTCTACCACTCCCTTTTTGTTTTTAATTGTAAGGTTTGGGGGGTTTCATGTAACATTTAGTTAAATGTTAGCATCAGGTTTTGTCCTAAGCTTTTAAAGTTAAAAAAAATTCTGATTAATTTTAATTATGTTGCCCTTACATTATATTGGGGCTTGAAGTTTGATTATTTGGGTTTGGGTTTTTTTTTGTTTTCTTTTCTGAACTTTGATTGGGTTTTTAGAACTAGAGACATTTTTTTGAATAAAGTTACATGTGGTAGAAGCTTGAGAGTCTATTGCATTCATTTCAGTGAAGCACGTACTAGCAGTATTGCAGTTTCACTGAAAAACTCCAGACACTTGCTTCTGGAAGACTTGCTTTCTGACACGTTTGCCACTTATGAGTTCATTTAAAATGTTTACCTGATTTTATTTGGAATAGTTTCTGGGCAGTTTTTGTTAGGAACTGCTTAGAATGGTTGGATGATACTAGATACAGAGTAAAAGCATCTGGTTTTGGTTTTCAGGATTTTTTCAATTCGTGTAAGAGTGCTTGTTTGACAGGCATTGTCATCAAAACTCTTATGAGTTGCTTGTGTCACTGTTCCAAAAACTGTTTGTATTCCCCTTCCAGTCTCTGAATGAATTCACATTCTGTAGTTACTGAAGGAAATACACAGAGTTTTAATACCATTAAAAACATTTTGTTCCAAAATTAATTTCCATTCATTTGTTTTAACACTGAAATTTGTGCCCTGATTTGAAATACTGCGGTGTTTTTTTATATGCAATACAATCAGAGGAATATTAAACATATCAGAATTTAGGTTCCACATCCTTCCATAACATGAGAACTGGGCATGTAGAGAAACCATTGGAATTGCATTTTTCAATCTATACAGATATGAATAGAAGTGCAGCTGAAACTAACACTGCTTTATGTCAGTTTTCTCCAAGAATAATTAGTCTAGTGCTTTTTGCTGTGTTTCTTTCTTTTGAAGTACTTTATTTCTCATTAGAAAAACCTTCCTGAAACACCTTGCTTGTGGCAGATTTCCACTTCTGACTGTAGTTACTTTTTCTGGAGCATTTTCATTCTCATTAATTACCCTTAGCTCAGACCTTTCAAAAATTTGAAAATACTTCTTGTAATAATTAGGAGGACATTAGTTTTTTTATTTTTAGTATATAACTCCCATGTAAAGCATCAACTAATACCCAAGCTTCAGATTTTTAAAATTTAATTTTAGTTCATAATTGATGGGGGAAAAAAACCCAAGAATTGAAGAGTAAAAATATTCCAGCTAGATTAGTTTCAGCATTCTGGGACTACCAAACCATGATTGACTGTTGTTTTCAAAAATGCTTGAGACTGTAATTGTAGTGTTCCACAGAACTGTTTCATAAAGAAGTTAGGGTCTCTGAAGACAGGGCTGGATTTCTTCCTTTCATGTTAATATCGAGTTGAATTAAGAGAAGACTGTAAGGGGATGTGTGATTCTTAAGTTGAGCATATCAGCTGCTGCAAGAGGCTTTGCAACAAAAGAATGAGTACAAGACATAATACTCAAATCAGTGCAGAATTGAAAGTAAAAGAGCACATGTGAGTGCTGTGAATACTTTTTTAAAGAACAGGAGGAAAGGCAGTGATTACAGAAACAGTCAATGAAAGACGTAGCTATTTTGTCAAAATATGGTGAAACTAGGTTTAGGTCTCCCAGGGTAGCTGCCATCATAACAATAGCAGTGCAGACTCCCCAAAAAGTTAATTTTGTCAGCTTTTATTAGAAGTGGTTATGGCTGCTTCTCTTTAATGTGCACTTGACCTGCTGATTATGTACAGACAGTCATTTAAATTTCCTTAAGTATGCAAATGTTTTGCACTTGAACTGAAATGTGAACAGATATTTTAAAGGCCCAGATTTTTCCCAGCTACATCATGGAATTTTATATTATTAGAGTAATTACTACACTGCTAAACAACTGAAGACTATCCAGGTTGTATTGGATTGTTTCTGTTTAGTTTTTCAGTGGGTAAAAAGTCAAAGTTTTACATGTAAATGACCTTATGAGCCACTCCTACAAAACTTGAGTTTATTCACTGGAGCCTTGATATCAGGAAGAAATTCCATTTATATTTGTGGGTGGATGAACCTAGATTCACAATTTGCTAGTAATGTGCTGTGACAGTTTTGATTATAACATGGATTATTCCACTTTATGCTTCAATGAACAGAATAATGTTTACTGGTCATTATGAAAGCCACTCAATTTTAATTTCTAGCTCAGTGCTGCTAGGTGCCTTACATGATTTCAGTACAAGGTCTTTTTACTAGATCCAGCTTGAGGGTGGAGAAGGACAAAGAGGGAAGGACCACTGTAAATTCCATTTTTGTTTTTGGTCTGGGACGAAAGACTGTATTTTGAATTGACTTGGAGGCTAAACTCAGCCTTCCTCCAAAAATTGATTCTTCAGGTACACTGACAACACTGACAGTTGTTATAGTACATCTACTGGATTTTCTTGTTTTGTTTTAAATAAATAAGGAATCTGTGGTGTTCTTAATGACTCATCTCTACTGTGTTCTGAAATTCAACTTTAAAATGAATCTGAGGAAAGGTTGGACAAACATATTTGCTGAGCAACTGTTCTTTTTATCTTATGGAGTTGTGTTGTTTCAGTGAGTTACAGAAGAACTGTTACAGTTCCAGTGAACAGTCATCAGTTTGCACCCTAGTGAGATGGCTGCAGGTTCATGAGGATTGGCACGACTCAAATACAGAGAGCATCCCTTCAGATTACTGAGGATTTCCCATTTCAGGATGTGTTGATATTAGGAAATAAGCAGTCTTACTACTTATTTCAAGCTACATGAGTTGGGTCTGTCTGTCTTTTGGTCTGTCTGTCTTTCGGTCTGCCTGTCTTTCTTACTGAAATACAGTCCATTGCAAAAGGAATTTCTGTCTGTTACCAAACTTGATAAGCAATCTCATCAGTAGACGTATTATCCTGTCTTCTGTTGCTGGATTTTAATAGACACAGTTGAAATTTTGTGTGGATGTTGTCTCATCTTCCCAATTGCTCATATGTCACTATTATTATCATTTTGTGAAATACATATATATGTTGCCAACAAGAATGCTGCAAAAACAAGTATCCGGATCGAGGGAAGTCCCAAATCAAGCAGATCCACTTGGCCCTCTCCTGTTTCTTAGCGAAGTTTAATTACAGTAGTATATGATTAAAAAAAGTGTGCTTCACAGAGGACATCGAATATACTGTTCTCTGAATTAAATATTATTTCATATTTTATATGGATTCAGTGTTTATTGTGATACTCTTTATGCATTGTCTTCACACTCATCTTCAAACACAGAATTAATATATTTGAGGTTTATTTTGCTCATTATCATAATGTCTCAGAAGTATTGAGGCAAAACGCCTGAGAATAATTAATCAGTAAATCTAAACATTGACAAGTGTCAATGTAAGTTCTGGTTTTGTTGGCTTCTTTTGACAGTTATTTAGGGCTGTGTTCAGAATGGTGCTTTCAAGGATCTGATATGCAGTTGAATCTTAAACAGACATAAATTAGATCTAAGTTATGCTGAAAACGACTTTCAGAAAAGGATGCACACTACTACTACAGGGGAGCTGCATGACAGAGGTAGAAAGAAAAGATACTTTTTTGCTGTACTTTTTACATGTTGTAATACCAGGATTTTCTTTCTGCAGTCTCCGGTCTCATTCCTATGCATCTTCCAACTGAAAAAAAAAAATAAAACAAAGGCAGAGCACTGCCTTTCATGGAACTCTTCTGACGCCATTGCAAATCACTGGTTTCACAGACTTCTATTCCTGGTGTCAGCCCTGGTGTGAGCCAGCAGGCACTGGATGACTTGCAGAGTTAGCGAGTAGCAGCAGGAGAGACCTGGAACGTGGAAAAAAAGCCCAATGCATGGCTGAGCAGTTGCATGCAGGCTTCTTACACAAACCGAACTCTTGTTTTCACTTTCAGGGTTTGCCTCCGTTCTTTTCCTCTTTGCTCTTTTGCATTCCAGTCAGATTGCTTTCTTTATATTCATGTGCCTGGATACCAACTGGCAAATGCACATAGAGCCTGGTAGTTGCTGTTTGTCCTGGTGCCTGCAGGTCAGGAAGAGCAAATGCAAGGAACATTGTGCTTAGTAGACCTCCTAAATGCCATGGTTATGAAACAGTTAGCTGAAGTAAAATGAAATTTGTACCAGAATTTGACTTCTTCTCAGAAACAATTGCACTTCATAAAAAAAAAAAAGAATTGAGTCAGCCAAATGATTGAAATTTGGTTAAATCACCGGCAATGATTTTACCAGTGACAATAGTATTTCAACCATGTCTTTGAAAGATCATTTTGTACAGAAATAGAACTTTCTGTATTGTCTTTTTTTTCCTGGAAAGTTGCCCTTATATAGCTACTTTCCCCCACTCCTTTTTTAGAAAAAGGTTTGCAAAGTAGGAATTAAGTTCCTGCAGTGGTGGTGAATAATAAACAGAGGAGCACAAATTTAGGTAATCACTCCAATTAGATGGAGAAGTTAGGTAGGTGCTTCAGGCAAGGGAGACCAGAAAATTAGTAACAACAGTAGTTTTCACAAAATACTCGTACATTGTTTTTGTTCAGAAAGAACTTCACCAGGTCAGTGTACCACGTTAACAGAATGCCACACATCTACCTTTAAAAACACTGATAGGCTGTTACGGTCTCCGTGTTCCTGTCCCTCATTGTGACCCTGAGCGCAGGGGCCGTGCTTCAGGACCTGGAATCTCTGGAGGCCACATTGACAAGGCTTCTGCCACAGTTCTCGGAAACCAGCAAGGAGCCAGACAGCACAAACCACTGGATTGCTCAGGGATGGGAAAGGGCAGGCTAGGAGCAGCCATGGATGGGGATGAGCTGGGAGCACTGGGTGCTGTTAATGTGCCTTTGCTGCTGGGCAAACTGCAAATGGATCCATGCACAAAAAGGATGACTAAAGCTGACTCGGGTGAATTGACTTCTGTGTGTGCCCATTTTTAAGCTGAGGCTCAATGTTTTAAAGCTGTTTACTAGATAAAATCTTATGAAAACCCAATATGTAACATAATAAAGACTTCTTAATTAAGTTGGTTTCTGGATACTAATTTAACTTTTATTAAAACTTTTTGAAAGAACAATGTTCCAGACAGAGTAAATCCATCAGAGGTTTTATCTCTGTTACAATTGAGCTAGTGTAGTAATTTCTCTGCCTCCAAAAAGCAGTGGGATGGTTTAGGATTGAATATAACTGACTACATTTAGAACATGCAGATTTTCAACATAGCAGTGCATAAATAATATCCTAATTTATTTAACTGCATTTTTTTCAAGCTCTGTCAAGGTTTTCTAATTTCTTGAGTAGTGATAAAAACCCCATTTGTTTGTTTTGATGATCCTCTGAGGAAGGAAGAATTCAGTGGGTTTCAAAGAGAAGTTCTGTGTACTCAGACTGCTCTTTTTTTCATTTGTACTTAAAATGTTGAAGTCCATTTGAAAAATACCATTAGGACCTTAGTTTTAAAAATTCCTAGGCCTTTTCCTTTTTTACATCAGCTAGAGATAAATTATATCACCCAGCTGCTTTTATATCTTGAAGTTCTAATTAAGGATGTTTGTCACTATGCAAATTGTTAGGTCTGGATGCTGTAGTGGAGATTTTTAGAGTTATGTAGAAATCCTATAAAACATATATTTCTACTGAATTTGCAGCAAACTTCCTACCTAGAAGATTTGAGCTGGGGAAGTTGTTCAGGCAAGAGGAACCAGGGGTATTAAAAATGAGAGTGAGGAAAGGCTTGGCTTTTGCTGTCTGAATTTAGAAGAACTTTCTGTTTTCAGAACTGAGAAGGAAATTAATCTTTTTCTTAATTGGAACTTTGAGGACATAGCTTTATACTTTCCTCCTCTTTTGCTTTTGGCAGAAGCTTAATGTTCTCACATTTGTATCCTACTGCACTAAGCCATCTCTGCATCAAAAGAAGACTGAGTGCTCGTCCTTCTGAATTTATCAGCACTGGCATAATTAGCATCAGTGCTTGAAATAAGATTCAGTATCTGCATGGCTGATTTTTTTTTTTTTTTATTGTATAAAGATTAATGGCATCAGCTCATACTTAGTTTGAAGTTTTAAAGTTTTCTTCACAGCCATTAATTCTAAATATGTCTTTTTAAAAGTAAACCACCTCACATTTTCTGGAAGTAGGAAGGCCTTATCTCCATTACAGCTTTGAGTCCATATCATCATCCTAAGTCTGATGTGAGGCAAACAGACATCAAGTGAAGAAAAAATACAGCTGTGAAAACATAAACCAGTACCTTTGATACATTTCAATGCATTTCCACTGGGGGTAAAGTATATCAGACTTATAAAATATATAGACTTAACACTACTTTATTATGTATTAATATTATGAAAGGACCTTTATGGGATATTGAAGTAGTATGAGAAAAATTATCTGAAAAAAGGCTTCCTACATGAATCCACATCCAGAATCATTGCCAGAGCTAAGATGAAAGTTCAGATGTTTCTGGCTTGAGGCTAACGGAACACATTGTCTCCTATAAGGAATTAATTTAGTTTGCTTTCCTTTTATCTTTGCAAATAGACACTTCTGCCAAAAATATTCCCCATTGTCCGAGTTAAGCATAAACAAGACATGAGCTGATTACACATATCTTAAATGCTATGTTGTTTAATTTTTGGCATCCTGTATATATAAGGTGCCTGATACAGTTGTTGACATCGTTGTGTGTACCCACAGCTGCTCCATTGGAGTTGGATCAATAGGATAAGGAATTTACAAAAACAAGCTAACCAAAATGAGAGCCTGCCCAATGAAATAAGACACTTCCTGTTTTCTTTGCTGTTTTCAGTATCACATTTTTATATTTCTGTGGGAATTCAGAAAACAGGTTTGTGGAATTCACAAGACTTCTCAGTCCATTCATTCTCACTAATGATAGTACTTTGTTGGGTGAAAATAAATACATAGCTGGGCAGCTTGCCTACATGTTACAAATAGAAACATTAAAAGGTAGAAGGACAAATGTCTCAAGTATCACATTTAATAAACCTTGGTTTGACTGTGGGCTCCCATTAGTTTTTCTTTTGAGCTACTTTTTTTTTTCCATTCCTTCCCATGGTTTTGGAGGAGTCCATTAACAGTAGGAATGTACAAATGAACAAAAGAATAGATGTGCCTGATGAAGTACAGCAAGAGTAAAATTCACCCTAAAGGAGGGGACCTGACTGCATTACTTATGTTGGTGCAAGGGAAAGTTACTCTGACAGTGGTAACTTTGAGAATTAAACATTAGATTCTGTTAAAAGTTCATCTCCTAATAGACAATGTTCAGAGAAGTTAGCTTGAAAATGCAGAGGTGTGCAGTGGTTTTGAATCGTGTAAACATCAAATGAAATTATTATTTGAGCTTTGTGAGTGTTTTGTAATTTGGACATGCAGCATTGTCCTCCAGCAAAAGAAGATAAAATATGCAGGGGTTTTTCATCAGAAGTCTCAGAGTACTTCTTAAAAAAATTAAGTAGTAATTACTTCAGTTTGTTTTGCATTAGTGTACATGATAGATAATTATTCGATTAAATTATTGTGCCTATGCTGCACCCCAGCATCTTTGGCAGCATTTTTAGCATTTTCTCAATCATCTCTTGCTTCTCAGTGCAGAAGCAGCTGGTGTTATCATCATTATTCTTTCTTTTAGTTTCCTTAGACAAGGATGAATCGTTATGGCATAGAAGGGCAGATTATAGAGAGATTCATGGAAGCATTTGATACCCTCCATAGCTGAATCATTACTTGTGTGGCAGCTCAGCCAGAGTATTTTTTGTGGGTAGCAAAGGCTGGATAATAGAGTGCCTTTAGGAGGAGCAGTGGGCAGCGTGTTCTCTCCCCTCCCAGAAATGACATGTGCTCTTGGGCCTCTGCTTAAACTCCAGCATCGGCAGAATTTCAGTAATACAATCTGTACTTGTCATAAAGGTGAAGTTGGTGGAGCTATGAGTTCATTAATCCAGAAAGAAACCTGCTGACAGGCAAATGTTGGTGGATGGTGAATCTGGCCTAGTAATGGCAGACAGAGAAAATGATTATACGAGTCCATACCTGTTATGTGCTCCAAAACCAAACACTGCCACTTAATACACAAGCATTCTGTGCTAGTTGGAGTAATATGTCTTACTATTTGCTATTTTCTGTAGATTATTAGATTCTGAACCTTTTTTTTTTCCTCTGATTGATTTTTTTTTTTTTCTTAAAATGTAGGAATATTCTGAGGACAGCAATTCTGAACCAAATGTGGATCTGGAAAATCAATACTACAATTCCAAAGCTTTGAAGGAAGATGACCCCAAAGCAGCATTAAGCAGTTTTCAGAAGGTTTTCTGTCTTTATATTCTATCTCTGCTTTTTATACTAATTCACATTTTAAAGTATCTGGTACCATTTGAGGTATTTTTTGAGATTTTAAGAGTAGGATTTATCTTTTCATTTACTAATGTGCTAAATTTATTATTGAGTATCTTAGACTCCTGGCTGACTGCCTTTCAGGATCATTCTTAGGGATAAATAGGACATGGTATAGTCTCATCACAGATCTGACTTTTTAATCTTCAGGATTTACTAAGTTAATTAAACAGTTCTGAATGTGTTTTCATGCATTGACAATAGAAACCAGATCCATTTGGGTCTTTTTAATGAAATGGTGTTTTCCCCAATGTCTTATGTAACATTATATTTGCTTTGCTATCTAATTCCAAAGCTTTAAATGCATAAATACTAAGTGACACAGAGTTTCTTTCCTTCATCTCAGTTTTAAATTTTTAATGTTTGCACACTGCTAGGAGAAAGCAGTATGTTAGATGCAACTTTTTAAAGAAAAAATAGATATTTGCATCTCTTGGCTCATTTATATAGTGTATAACAAAATTAAATACATGACTTAAAAAAAAACAAAACAACTTTCTAAAGTTTTTACTTATGAAACATGTCTGTAACTATGTTGCATTAAAACCTAGAAGCGTTTCTCCTTTGTGAAGGAACGGTAGTAATTCAGAAGAGCTTTTTAACTTAATTTAGTCAAAATTTAGTTGCCTCAGTTTTGCAGGAGGTGTTGCAACTATTTTTGCATATGTTTTGATGGAGTGGTGTTAAAACTTAGTGTATGGCATTGAAGTGTTTGCTGTTAGACAACAACAACAATCATGTTCATCCTCCCTATATCAACTAAGTTGTGAAAACTGATGAGATACAGTCTCGCTTTTTCAATAATACCAGGAAAGAATAAAATTGAAGAACAGGGCAGAGTCAAATGTTACTTTGTAAGGAATAAAGTCGGGGGAAGGGCATGTCTGGGATATGTATATTTTAAACAATTTAAGTTTGAATAAAGCTTTTATAAATACTGTTTTAAAAATTCTTTTCCAGGTTTTGGAGCTCGAAGGCGAGAAGGGAGAATGGGGATTCAAAGCTCTGAAACAGATGATTAAAATAAACTTTAAATTGGTAGGAATTACAGCTATCACTTGGGAGTAAATGGTGTAAATATGTATTTGATCCAGAGATCTTAAGTTACTATTCTAATTTGTGGCTATGACAGCTAAATCTACCAGAACCTGTCTTTTGCAGCCTTTAATGGCTACTACAGATATGGCAGGGAAATGATGTGGTTGCAAGTCAAAGCCAAAATGGATGCAAAATAGCTGCTGTAGTCAGCTGGTACTCCATGAATGTGTGAGGCTCAGTCTTTGCTGTGCTAAGGTGTCACACCACTGAAAGTGGTCATGTTTCCCTGTGTGCGTTGCACTAGGACCAAACAGTGAAACATTTATATGCTATGTATGCAACCATTCCAGAGTTGTATGGCTAGTTCTGTTTTCTTCATTGAGATAAATATTGTAAATGTGTGCTCCCTGCAGTCCTGAAGTTATTTCTGATTCTGCAGGTAATGAATAAAGTGGTGATTTGAAAGTTTTAATAGCAACCACTACTGCATTGTCTTTCTCTATGCTTTTTTTTCCTGTATATACACTTGCAAGATATCTCAGTTTTAACAATTAAAACAAAAAATATAATGTGATTTTGCTTTTCTTTTAGACTAACTTTCCTGAAATGATGAATAGGTATAAACAGCTATTGACCTACATACGGAGTGCAGTTACAAGGAATTACTCTGAAAAATCCATCAATTCTATTCTTGATTATATCTCTACTTCCAAGCAGGTTGGATCATCAATTCTTTCATCTTCATAGTTTTCAGTTTTGCATTTTTAACTACAGACATTTTTTGTGTTTGGTTTGGGCTTTTTTGATCTTAATAGAGGAATTTTGACTATTCACTTGCTATCATATATAAAAATATATTTCCTACATGTAGTGGATTCTATTAACACAGATAAATCTTCATAAACTTGTCCTTTTTTGGCAATATTTACCTCTGTATTAATAAATAAGAGCTTATTTTTAGCACAGATACACAATGTAAGTGCCCTCTCAAATATAATTTTTAATTTAAAAATGCTTTTTTTTTTTAATTTTGGGGGGAGAGGGAAATTTTTGCAGTGAAGTGTTGGTGTGAAATACTGCCTGTCCAGTGCACTGTGCAAGTGAGGTACATGTCCATAGATACACAGCCCAGCTCCTTTTGTTTTGTGTTGTGGTAGAAGCTTTACAGAGAGTAGGAAGGTCCCCTCACTGACTACCTGAAAGTAGCACTTTCATACAGAGGATCATTGGTCTTCAGTGCTGAGTCCTTGGTCATTATCACAATCCTTCCTGCCCTGCCACTCTTAGAAGTGGAAGTTGAATGCTGGGTTACTGTTGAGGTCTAAAGGATTGTGTTAGACTGTCCCTTCTTGGCAGAGGTCAGTGTCTCTGGTCTGTAGTTGAGCCAGACCTGGGGGGACAGTCTGGAAATCATAACTTGATGTATAGTCACAGATTTGTTACCCCCCAAAGGAACAGTGGTCATGAACAATACTAATGCATTCTTTGTACAACCCTTGTAAAAGGTAACACTCAGCACTTTGATTTCCATTTCAAATGTTGTATTTTTGGGTTTTATGCAAAGAAACAGTTTGATGTGCTCAAGAGCTTTCTTCCACTCAGCATTGCTAGTCCAGAAAGAAGAAGGCATCTTTTCCTTTGACCATTTTCCTCTCTTTGTAAAGCATATTTTCTTTTTGATATGTAAATTATTTTTATTCTTTTAAGTGGGAACAATATCACCTGTGTTTGTTACACAACGTCAGAGTTCTGTTCCTTGGTTATATAAGATGGGTTTTATAAGGTGGCTTTAATTTTTCACAGATCAATCAAGTACAGTGCAAACAGTACAAATATTAAAATGTGACTACTTTTTAATTATTTCTGTTTCATATAAGAAAAGATAGTGTAGTTAGTTTGGTTACTTTAGAAGCTGTTTGCAGTTTAAGTGCAAACATTAAGTAAGAAACAGATACCTTTCTTATTTTGAAGTTCAAGCATGCACTTGTAGGTTGTTCAGATTGACTTTATTAACAGGTACAAATTTGCTGTTTACAATTATAGAATTCTGATTTTTTATGTCAGATGGATTTGCTTCAGGAATTCTATGAAACAACACTTGAAGCTCTGAAAGATGCTAAGAATGATAGATTGTGGTTTAAGACAAACACAAAGGTAAAATATATAACTTCCTATTTTTTGCTTTTCTTTGACACCTTCAGCTAATTCTTATAAATTATAATTGTGAAATTTTATTACACCTCAGTACTTTAACTTTCTTTTCATTACAGCTTGGCAAATTATATTTAGAACGAGAAGAATATGGAAAGTTACAAAAGATTTTGCGTCAGCTGCATCAGTCATGCCAGGTACCTTTATATTCTAAATCACCATGACTTAGTAAACAACTTAGATGCAATGATTTATTTTTTTTTTAATACATCTGTTGTTGGCCTTTGAGGCATTTTGCTGAGCTTTAGTACAGAGGGAAAAAATAGTGTGCCTGAATTTATTTGTTACCTGCTTGATAACATGAACAAAAAATGCTAAGTGCTTTATTCCTTTCTTACAGATGGTTTTAAAAAAATTATTCATGACTGCAGATTTGGTTTCTCTTCAGGGAAGACGAGGAGAAGCTCATATCAATAATCTATGATGCATAGACATTTATTTTAAAATATAGCAAAGATTCCAAGTGAGCTTTATTCAAAACTGAAAGTACTGTTGTTACTTTCCCATCTGGAAGGGGAAGAAATAAATTAGCCATGCAGTCTGCTGTGCTTGTTTGTGATATTTTTCCTCCTCCTTCAGTATGGAAATAGGCTACAAATATCTGGGAAATTGTTCTGTTAGAGGCAATACATATGTATATATGTGCATTTGTGTTAGTCATTGTATTTATATACTGAGTGTGGCTTAAGGAAAGTGGAAAAGAATTAAGGTTAAAGTTTTGAGAAAAAAATTTAATTAAAAATATTGACATTCTAAATAAAGGGCTTCAAAATGTAGCCTGTGGTTAAGTCCTTTGAGTGCTATGTTTTCTGATAGTTTCATCAGAATTTCAGAGTTTTAGGAATATTCTTGTTTTTGACAGGAAATTACTGAGAGTATTTGGTTATCAGTGTTTTACTAGTATAAAACTGAAATTGCTGTTCTCTTAAAATTTCACAGTATTTATTACTTAATCTGTCCTAGACTGATGATGGGGAAGATGATCTAAAAAAAGGTACTCAACTATTGGAAATCTATGCTTTGGAAATTCAAATGTATACAGCACAGAAAAATAACAAAAAACTTAAAGCACTATATGAACAGTCATTGCACATCAAGTCAGCCATTCCTCATCCACTGATCATGGGAGTTATCAGAGGCAAGTTCATCTTGAATTTTTCATTTATCTTCTGTTGCAGAGATTTGTTCCATGAAAATCTGATAACCAGTGTTTTTTCCAGTTCCAACTATGAAGACAGAGGCTTCTGTAGATTCAGTCTCATCATTTTCTTCTTGCAGGACTTCAGCTCTGCAGTTTTGGTGCCCAAGTGCCAGAGGCACTGGTCACAAGGGCACGACGGTTGGCTAAATAATTGTTAGGAGAGAAGCAGTAGAAAGAGAAGAAGTAGGAAGACTTGCTGTTTGACATCACAGCAGGCAGCAAAAGATGAATGCAAAGGCATCTGCAGGGGAAAGAAACAAAGGCTTGACAGGACTGCTAGCAGAATGGTTAGCAGATTGCTGTTCCTGCAATCCCCTTTTATAAATTTGTGTCTCACCTTGCTAAAATTCAGCAGGAACTAAAGGGCTTTTAGATGTACTTGAAAATATTATTTATTATTTGCAATAATTAATTGTAGTGGAAAAAAGTGTGTGTTAACTTTCTTTAGAACACTGTTATGCCTTCCTCCTTTCCCTGGTGTAGATACTGCACAGACAATTAGGCAGCAGTGGGTACTTCAGAAATAAAAGGATATAGAAAGTATTTCTCGTTTTTTCTGTGTGGTTTTGCTCAACAGATAGGGAAAATTCCATAAATATACAAAGCCTTTTGCCACTGAAATGGAGATAAATTCTGTCTCAGTTTTTGCAGTATTTTAACATAATGGTGACATAATTATTGGCCATGAGGATTAGTGTTCTTTTAAGTTTTATGGTGTGGGCTGGGTTTTGTTTTTTCTTCTTTGGAATGGGTTTATTCAAATGGCAGTGCTGTATGTTAAGGCCCTAATGCTTTTCTTTCCTAGCGATTTCAGAGAACCAAATGACTTCTGAAAATGTTTCAGTAATCTATTTAGAAATAGCATGGAACTTGAGTACAATTATTGTAGTCAGCAGCAAGCACACAATGTTCCTTTTCATCTGTGTTTTCTTTTCAGAATGTGGAGGCAAAATGCACTTAAGAGAAGGAGAGTTTGAAAAGGCACATACTGATTTTTTTGAAGCATTCAAGAATTATGATGAATCAGGGAGCCCCAGAAGAACCACTTGCTTAAAATATTTGGTCTTAGCAAACATGCTTATGAAGTCTGGAATAAATCCATTTGATTCTCAGGAGGTATTTTTTTCTTCTTCCTTCACACCACCCCCCTCACATCCCCTCACCCTTTTCTGAATATATAGAGAAATTACCCAAAGGGGAAATGGAAAAAAAAACCCTAAACTTTCATATTATGCTTTCTGTTCTGTGTAGGCTAAACCATACAAAAATGATCCAGAGATTCTAGCAATGACAAATTTAGTAAGGTAAGATTTTCATTTTTCTGCAGAAAAGAACAAAAAGATAAAAAGAAAAAAGATACATTGTCCAAACCTGAAAAGGAATATTTTTAGAAATTGCTTTTCTCTGCACAGTTAACACAGTTATTCATAAATATTGGGCAAATATTTGAGAGGACTGCTTTTCTTTAGAAACTTAATATAAGAGACCATAGTATTGATGCCATACTATGTACAGGTGCAGAAACTGTGTTTTGTCACTTTATGGTGTGAAAAAAACCACATTTCTCCCCTTAAATCAAGTTGTCCCATCTTATACTGCAACTGGTCTTTTTGGGCTCTGATTACACAATAGAAATTGAGTTGAGTGACATCTCATACCATAAGCAATAGAATAATTTTCTGCATGGATATATCATGATTTCCTAAGTTAGGAGTACGAAAGTTAACTCATAATGAACTCCTGTATTCTTCAAACATATAAAAATCAAAAGAAAGCCTCACTGCCTCTTACAGACAACTCTGAGAACTTCTAGTGCATGGTCATGAGGTCAATGAACTGGGGCAGGTTTTGTACACTGGGTTTTGAAGCTCACCTACTGTATCCACTCTGGCCTGCCTCTGCTCCTTTTCCCATCTTTTCCCTACGTGAGAAGTAATGTCTGCTCACATTTTGAAACAGTTGATCCTGTATTGGAACAAATCGCTGTGATAGTGCTGTTGTGCATTGTATACATACAAATTGTTTCTGAAAGTGAGGATATTCATCCATTAGTGACATAGTGAATGAATAAATTACTTGGCGGTTTATTAAGGGACTATTTCCAGTAAGTCATTCCACTTTAGATGTATTTTTTCCTAATTCACTGTCATAGTTTCATGTGAATTTGAGGCAGAAGGAACTCCAGATGGCCTTACCCTATCTGATTTTATCCGTATTTCTAATTTATCTTTTATCGTGACATTTGAGTATAACTCCTTCTTTAAAATTAATAATGCAGTTAAAGCAGTGTTGATAAGAAATATGCAGAAGATAAAATTAATTTCAAATATGACAATTACATTTTAAATCCTTCCTATACTCTGCAGTGCGAACTTGCATGCTTTACATATGATAAAAAGAGACTTCTGAAATAACTTCTGAAATATACTGAACTGAAATTCCTTTTATTATAAAGTAAAATTTACTGGTTTCATGTGATACAGTCCATGCCACTCACATAACTATTTATAAACTACTCAAGTTCTACCTTAAACTCAACAGGTCTTCATCTTGGCCATTTTAATAACAAATTAATAACAAATTTAATAACAAATTAAATCTTCTTCAACCAGTTTAAAAACAAATTTAAAATGTACAGAGTATGAAGGACAAATAGATGTTGTTATCAAAATGTTTGACGTTAGTATTAAAAAGAAATTTAAAATTTTGTTTTGAAAGAATGGTTTTCAAGAAAAAGGTCTTTCTTCAGAAGTTGCAGCTTTTGACCTTTAAACAATGCTGTGGTGGCACCTTCGTTTTGCAAAGCTTTCTCAGATGACAGGATTGACTCATGAAAGGACATATACACAAATCAGCTATAAATAAAAATCTAAAAAGTAATATTATGCCAGAATTACTGATGAATAATCCTGGGAGTCCGTATTTCTTTCATTCTCCAGTTTTTTTAGCATCGAGCTTAAGCTGGACATCGTAGAGACAGCAACAGCCTTGTAGACTCTTTTTAGCTCTTATTTGTTCCATAAAGTATGACTTCATGAAGCCAAAATTCATGTAATGATACTTTTCAAAACAGGGTATTTAAGAATAGCTTCTTAAAGTACAAAAGTTTTGAAACTAGAGTGCACTTGTGGAACAACTAAATATTCATACTAAATTTTAGTAAATGCTGCTAAAATTGAAGCAGGATAAAGGTAATTTCTGTTGCGTTTCATCTTGAAAGTTTTTACTTACAGAGGTTCTGAATAGAAATATTTTCCACCAGTGCTTAAGATGTGGTGGGTTTTTTTTGAAATTGTGGAACATAATCTTATGAGTCTGTTTCACTTTTAAAATAAGTAATTCAGTCGCTTTGTTTTTCTGAAGTGCCTATCAGAATAATGACATCACTGAATTTGAGAAGATTCTGAAAACAAATCACAGCAACATCATGGACGATCCCTTCATAAGGGAGCACATTGAAGGTATTTTGAAGGCTATTATATCATTTTTGTTTTCACTGCTTGTACGCTCCTTTTATTTTCCTTCCCCCCACCTTGGTTTATTTTTCTTTTTGGCACTAAGAGTTCCTTATAATTACTTGTGGATGATTCCTTTACAAGTTATTTAGAAGCTGGTCAGGGCTAACTTGCATCCAGGCATGTGGCATGACTGCAAAGATATGCAGGATTTATGGAGAAAGGTCTAGAAGAGTGGATATTTTAAGGTATCTATGGTGGTGTTTAAATACTTGAATATTTTGAGTGTTGTTTTTGTTCTTTCTTCCCATTGGAATACTGAAATGAGAGCAACCCTCACCTGTAAAGATGGTTTGTATCAGTCTCATCCAGTTTGATGTTTGCTAGTTTACAAAGTTAATTTACTGCTTCAGAGTACAGACAAAATACATAGACAATGTAATGAAGGTTCCACTAATAAATATGTAGTAATGTAATATGTAAAAAGATACATACTTTTCATTTATATCTTTTAAACAGTGGTTGGAGTTATAGTACCTCTACTACATTAACACATGCCTTTCTTTTCTGCTCCATTAATGTGACAAAATAAAGTTACCTCATCCATTTTTCATGTATCTGAGAATGAGGAGTCTCTTCACTTGAATATAGTGCTCAGTTCTTCAGCTAACTGTTGTTTTCAAGGATGGGTCTGCTTGTGGCAGTGCAAGATCATTTAGCTGGATAGTTACATGAAAGAAAAAGGTTAAATCCAGAGACCTGGTTTTCTTATACTTGTTTGTAAAAGAGAACAGGGCAAACAGCAGAGGAAACTAAATATAACCCACTACTGATGTTCCATGTGGACTGCTGGTGAGCTGCAAAGTCTTGGAGGGAGAATTGGTAAGATTAGAGCTGGATGCTCATGGAGGAAGATGTGACAGAGCTGGAGAGCAATAGGAGGAAGCTGAATCAAAGCACTGAAGAGAATTTGAGTGTCACTCCTTATATGCTGCTGATGCCCTCACCATTTTCACTCTGCAGTGATAAACAACGTGTTCATGGTTATGTTTACATAGCTTGCCTTGTTGCTTTAATCTCCATAGTTTATTGAGACACATAATCTGGTTTTCAGTGGTATTTTATTTTATAAACAATCCTTGTTTAAACAGGTAAAAATGGATCAAGATTTTTTCCTCTGTTAATTTATTATTGTAATTTATGCTTTCATTTTATCCCAACTCTTTTTAATAATGTAAAAATTTAAAAAACAATGACTACCCTATTTTATTTGAGCAAAATCAGCCTCTCCATGCAGACCATTTTATACTACTTCAGTTCCTCACTGTAATTACATCATTAGGCCCTGACTTTTAACTTTAAATGTGAATATTCCCCATGATGTTAAATGCACAGACATTTTAAGTTGCACAGCTTTAAGAATAACCCTTTTCAATTTTGTACATGGCAAACATTCTAGCCATAAATTAGGGGGACAGACACACCAGGTAATGATCTCTATGATTTATCCAGTTAACTTGAATAAATACAATTTTTACCAGAGGTCATGTTGCTCCATGTTTGAATAGTTTTCAGCTCTGTCTGTCCACCTTCAGAGTTACATATTGCTTGGATCCCTGGAGAAGGAGGGTTGTTGTTAGTTTGCTGGGCTTCCCCACTCACTGAACTACTACCTTCAAAGACCATGGTGTTTAGCGTATCTTTCTATATGGAGTGGTATTGCGGTTTTATTTCAATACTGCTGTTTTTACAGTGTTTGTTTTCTTTTACAGAGCTTTTGCGAAACATCAGAACACAAGTGCTTATAAAATTAATTAAGCCTTACACAAGAATACATATTCCTTTTATTTCTAAGGTATGTGTCAGTAGAGCCTTTCATTTGCTTAAGTAAATGATTAACTGTGAATAAAAGCTTTTAAATAAATACAGTGCTTCCAGAAATAGAACATCTAAAATACACTTTAAACCATAAAGTACTAATGATGCACTGCTGGCAGCTTTGCAGTGCAAAAATGTAAATTTCAAGTGTCATCCAACTGCTTTTTATAATATGTACTGTGATACACTTACAAAATACTCAACTACCATATTCTACTTGGTGTAGAAAATAACTTTTCTTAAGAAAAGTATAAAAAGTGAAATTTGTATAATAAAAAATGGAATTATGGACATAATTTTTATGAACATAAAAATTTAAAATTTAATCCCTTTTGTTCATAAACTATCTTCATGTGTTTGTGTTGTACAAGTTACAGAACTGTGGTAGTAGAACAAACCAAGTATTACCATAGAATCACTGATTTCACTGCCTAATCTGCAAAGAATGGGGTAAAAACCCAGTGGTAATATATGAGACCCATCTACTGTGGGTCTGTGATTTTGCCTGCAAAAGTTCACTGTGTTACAAAATACGTCATGAAATATTAGGGATGCCTATTTTCCATGCTTAAATTCTCTTTGGAACTTGGTATGCCTTTTTTTTAAGCTAGACTTAACTTAGAACTTGCTTGAGCCAGAAGATGCAATTACATCTCTAAATGGTTTTGAGTGCAGATCCATTCTTTTCTGATAATTATTGTCTTATTTTATTTCCTGGGTTTTTGTGGTTGTGGTTTATTCTGTTGTTGTTTGGTTTGGGATATTTTTTATCTGTTTGTTTTTTCAGTAAGCCAGTAAAGGAACTCATTTCTGGAGCTTCTAAAATTTTGCTTTCCCCTCTTCAGCTTTTTCTGAGAGGTTACCAGTCTCTTGATTCTTGGCCATGTGTCCTTTGAGTGGAGGTGTTTTGCTTAATAGATCATTATTGAATTGATACTTATGAACAGTAAGAAACAGAGGTTAAACCAAATTCTGTATATGAAAACAAAGATTGGAGGTTTAATGTTGCAGAACATAGTAGTAGCATAATGAATTTTCTTTTTGTTTCAGGAGTTAAACATAGATGTAGCTGATGTGGAAAGCTTGCTTGTGCAGTGCATATTGGATAAGTATGTACCTTATTCTTGATCTTTGATTACTTTAAAATAATCAAACTATAGAAGAAGCAACAAAACAATATTTTGGGGCATTGTGGTAATACTGGTTGATTCTAGAAGTGAAAGGTAACGGTGCTAACTTTGGATTTTCTTGGTTTCTGAGCAGTAAAGTATGTTTGAAAGATGGGAGACAAGAAAATTATACAGGGAGATTGAGCGGCATCTTTTTACTTTAATTCTTAATTACATAATAAATCCCCTGAATTATTATGAAATTATGAAAGTTGTTATTCTTAGTAATTGCTGCGTACACCCATGTATATTTTTGAGTGCATTTTCAAGTTGACAGATTGGTAGTCTACTGTCTTAACTAGAAAAATTTAACTACAATTTGTAAAACCTATTTTTCTTGAGGGTAACTTTTTATAACTATTACAAAAATGTAAGCCATACATAAGCTTGTATTGTTTGACGTCTCTTCACATTAATCTCCATTTTTCATGATTCTTTGACTTTCAAGAACTTCTTATGTCATACTGCTTCAGACTTTTATGGGGTCATAGCCAAGCAGATAAAATATGCATTAAATGCATATGAATGCAAATATGCTATGAATTCATTTGGGTTTGGTTTGTTTTTTCCAGTCATGACAGCTTAATAGGCAGTAGTACCCAGGACAGTATTGATAAAAGTGCTGAATTCTGAAATGGACTTTGTGCCTCTCTTTTATGAGACCTCTTACTTTACCTCTGATTTATTGTTAGCTCCTATTTCCATGTCCATTAGCAATTTACAGTTTTTATTTATTTACTTCTAGCACTATACATGGCCGAATTGATCAAGTCAACCAGCTCCTAGAACTGGATCATCAGAAGAGAGGTGGTGCACGTTATACTGCGTTAGATAAATGGACCAACCAACTAAATTCTCTCAACCAGGCTGTAGTCAGCAAGCTGGCCTAACAGAAACCAAGCTTCTACAAACGTACTTAAGGCAACAGTGCAGTGATGTAAACCTTAAAAGAACTGGGAATGGCAAAACTACTGTCGGTTGGTGTGCCCTGAAATTATTGGAGTTATGGCAGAAGTGCTTTTTTGATCAGCTGGTTTGTGTTTTGCTGCTGCATTTATCCCAAGAAAAAAACAGCTTTAATCTCCAGAAGAAAACCAAAATGCCACGGGATTTATGCTGTATTGACATCTTGCCCTAAACATACAACATCCTAGTAATTTGTCAAGGGGCAATTAATGACCAGAGAGAAGATTTTTGTCATGATTTTAAATACACTGACACATTACTGTTGGTTAAATTTAAACATGTTTTACCTGCAGAAATTCTCTCACAGAAATAACCTGCAATAACTTGAAATGCATACCCTTTTGAACACTTCCTTTTCTCATGTATAAATTGAAATGTTTGCTGCATTTTGCAAAATGTCAGTTCTCCAAAAATGTGTCCATATATTTCTGTACCTGCAGTGTAGTAAAGGTTTAGAAGAAACCCCATAATTATAGTGGCATACTGTCACTTAGGTTTCAAGCAGCAAAATAAACAGTGCAGTTCAGAAATTGTACAGTTTGTTTCTTGATGTGCTTTCATTATACTTGAATTTTACTTGTGTTATTTTTAAAAGAAAATAGGAATTACTTGTCACATTTGTGAAGGACAATATGGAGATTCTAAGTCTGAACCCCTTGGTATGTGTGCTGTTGATTTTTCTTTTTTTTTTCCCCTTGAAATAGTGAAACATAAATACTAAAGAGCTGACATTTAGCAGCCTTGCTAACTAACTTTTAGCTTCAAGAAGCCAAACTGTTATCAGTCCTGTCTAGTTATGTTGGTGGGTATTTGGCATCTCTCAGGGATACGCTTGGCTTTTATTTTGCTATTTCAAGAATAGAGATTTCCACACAGTTCTGTGGGAATAGAGATGCAGACCCTGATTGTTCTCTCTCTTTGCCTAATCTGGTCTTTTGGAGCAGATTCAGTGTATAGAAAATGACACAGTGTGTATGCAGTGGGGACCAAGAACAGTGACCTTGCTGGTAATGGAATCTGTTCTGTCCCAAATGTTTGAATGTATTGCAGTCCCTTCAGAGCTGCTGTTCTCTAGCACAGTATAGCCACATGCCTTTTGTGTCCTAAGATTCTGGGATCATCAGATCATTTTAATATAACTACAGTGTTGACCACAGAAAATTTTATTCCTGTAACAGATTGGAGCTGACAGAAAAATTCTCTTGCAGGTCTCAGAAATGTAGTAAAAAGGGTCAGATTTTCCATAAATGTAAGTGTTCCAGTTTAAAGCTGAGAGTAGTGTGTGATGGTACACACGAGCAGTGCCACACACAGACATTGTAATAGTAGAAGGAAAAATCTGTATGCAGAGTAATTAACAACACCTCAAAAATAATGAAAAAGCCTAATAAATTACAAATGCCCATCACATACGTGCAAGGCAGCTTGGTAAACTCAAACTTGTTCTAGGGCAGGATTTAAATTGGTACCAGGTTATAATTAAATAGGATAAAATTAACTTCAATCTGAGGAATAGTTATTTCCCTTAGAAAATTATTTTGCTCTGCAGTTGTCAAAGCAAGTAATTTTTTTTTCCTGGTATTTACATCATAAAAGTTAACGTGTACCATGAGTAGCATAATATTGAATCTTGGGTGAGATTTTCTTCTTCACTCATGTATTTTTTTACCAATAGGTGTTTTTAATTTATCCATTTACTTAAAACAATAATTTAAAATTTAAATTTTTAAGCAAAGTTTTTTGCCTTTGTAAATTCTGTATATAAAAATTAACTAAAGCACCTTGTATTTTATTTCCTTATAATGCTGTGATAATGCTGAGTAATGTAGTTTTTGCATTGAAAATTCCAGTAGTACCTGGTGATGTGAAGTTGAACTTAACAACAGTGCACAGTCACTGGGACCCTTACCTGCAGGTTCTTTCTCCCAGGGGGACAGGGGATTGTCACAGCTATTTCAAGGTTCTCCTTCCCATGGAGACAGGGGACAGTGACAGCTATTTATTTGAGTAGGTCTCCTTTCTCTGCCGTTTCCCAATACCCTTGCTGTAGGAAGGAACAACTCATCTCTTCTAAAGGAGGGGGAAAAAGATAACTGTCCATAAACTTACAATCACTGAAAATAAAAGTTTTCTTGACTTTGTCTGTTGTACCTGATGTAACCTTTTCCATCCCAGCTACATCTGCTGGGGAGGCATTTTGGCATTTTTGGATTTTTTTCAACAAGGAAATGGGAACACCGCAGTAAATCTTGTCATGTCTGTCTAGTTCCCTTGTTTATCTTTTTGTTCTGAAGGACTAATTGTTGTAGGACTAGTCCAACTATTGAAGGACTGTCAGTCTGAACAGTGAGGGCTGGCAATGTTTTTAGAAAGAAAAAAGGTGTCTGCCTCTAAGAAATAGTTGTGTGTTTTGGCATACTTCAGCTCTTACTCAAGTGTACAGTGCCTTAGCATCTGTGCTCTAGGCACATAAGGAAGATTTATATAAACCCTAAGGGATTCTACCCCTTTTCTGAGTTCTCACAATTCTTAACCTAGAAGATGAAGATTTTCTCTGGGGAAATACTGAAGAGCTCTGTTGTCATACAACTGTAGCAGAAATCACCAATAGTTGCTATAGCCCACCCTATAGTCCCTGGTAGATCTGGTTCTGATGTCATTTCTGTCTCCTCAGGAAAAGTGAACAAGCACTTGAAGGAAGAGGGTAATTTTTTTTTTTTTTTTCCAAAAAACACCATTGCACTGCAGGTTGTTTGAAACGTGGTAAGCAGCTTCACTGCATTCTCAGTCTTGGGTCCAGTCATTCAATTTCTGCAGTTGTTGGTAATTGTCAGACCCACACTTGTCACAACTTCTTGGGTGTTTTTATACACCTCTTGTTGCTGCTGGTACAAGATAAACTGGCATTTTAGCTAGTTACCATAACAGTGTTTGCAAAAGAACATTTTAATGGCTGTTGTAATCTTATGTAAGATTACAACAGTGATTAAGCTGTGTATATATAAACCCTTCTTTTGAGTTGTGGCAGCTTATGCATTAAAACTGAACAACAGGAAAATCTGGGAGGATGTGGGTGCTATGTCTGCATTTTAGATTTTTGCTATTATTTTTAATCAAACATAGTTTGAAGGAATGTATTCTTTGTGCATCTTAAAGTCCTATTCTAATGGATTGGATCTGAAACCAATTTAATTTCATTTTCCTTTTAAATAAGCCTACCACAGAAAATGCACTGAATAACAACAAACCCCAGAAAAATGGCAGTGCACCCAGCTGAAATGCACCCAGCAGAATAATAAAATGAAGTTATTTGAATTTTAGTCTGTAAATAAACTCTGATTTTGTAATTTCTCAGGAACTGACAGCTATAAAACATTGTAATTGAAGATTGTATTTTCATATTTTTTCTTTGAGAGGTAGTGAATTAATCTGAGTAAGAACTGTGTATGTATAGAGTAAAATGACATCACTTGGTGGAGCAGTACCCCTTGCTTTCTCAAAAATACAGCCTAAATACAGAACTAAATTTCCATATATAGATGCTAATATGGATTTTAAATATAAAAGTGTCACTGTTAATTATTTTCAAAGTGCAAAAAATGTAGTTTAGAACCAGGTTAGTGAACTAGGTAAACTACATTACAAGCTAGTCAACTATTTAAGTGTTAATTAAGATATTAAGAAAGGATTATCACCATCTTAAATGCCTCTAACTGTGTGGTAAGATAGATTGCAAACTATCTGTGATAGAATAATTGCATGTGTAATGCTAAATTTTAGGTGTAAGACGTGTAAGCATTACAGCAAGAGTAAAGGCTAATCCCTTGCTGGCCCTGTTAGGAGGAGTTGCATGGCCGTTCTGTCCTGGCTGGCTCTGCTGCCTCCCTCTGCAGCTGCTCTCGGTGGGAGTGCTGGGCTCACTCTGCCTGCTGCCAGGTAGCAATCGCTATTGGAATCGTGATTCTCAGGTTCCTGGAGTAGTTCCCAGCTCACCTTCCCACTTAGGTTCCAGTTCTGTTCCCTGCTGTGTCTGCCTGTGGCTGCCTGTGCAGGACACCACATGTCACATCGCCAGATACCGTTTTATTTGCCAAGATACATTTCACTTTCTGTACTTGTCTTTTTCAGTAACTATACTGAAAATTTTAGTCCCAGGCCAGTAAAACTCACTTTTGAGTCTGCTTCATTCCTGCTGCCTTTTCCACTTGCTCACCATGGCAGCCTCCAGCCCCACTAGTGCTGCTGCAGTCCCTGTTCAGGTGGTGCTGCTGCCGTGGAGCTCAGTCTAAGCCTGCCTGGACCTCAGGCAGAGAGTGTTACTGAGCAATCCTTATTTCATGCTTCCATGCTAGTGCCATTAAGCCTGTACATATGCTCAAGCTTTCCATATAAGAAGCTGCCTAGACCTCAGTGAGACGTGTGTAATCACATGCTTGTGTTTCGTAGGACTTTATACCCACTAGATGTAAACAGCTCATTACGGGTCTGAGTAGCCACACATGTGCTGTTAGATTTGCCTGTAATCCTGTGGTTTGAAATCTGAATACATTCATTACCAAGTGCCTTTCCATATTGCTCAGATATTTTGGTTTAGACTCCCATTTTTTATTTTTGTGTCAACCTAGATTTTCTTCTTCATTTGATCTGTGTCCTCCAATGTGTTCAGGAAGGATATCCCTACCCAGTAGCTGCAGCAATAAAGCTAAAACCTTAGTAGCAAAATTCTAGTCAGCACCTGCGGAGTTCAACCATCATTTTTGCTTATGAACTAAGCACTTCACTTACTCCATGTTGCAGCAAAGAAGTTGCAATAATTGTTTACAAACTGCCAGGTTTGAAAACTGGACTGTTACAACCAAGTATTCAAAATCAGCTACCAAGGATGTTCAAATTCAACCATGTGCAGTTACCAAGTATTTTAAAATTCACCAGGGTTTTTAGAATTTTTTGTCCTTAAGAGCTGTGCCATTGTCGAGTTCTCTTACACAACACTCAATCAAGATGATGTTGTAACCAGATACCCTGGCATATCTGTGATAGCTGTGGATAGAGGATCTCACATAACTGGTTCTGAGTGCTTTGGTTTGTTTTTCTTTTTGGTAATAACACAGTTAAATTTTATGGGAGACCTTAAGTATTTTTCACCTGAGTGGCCACTCAGGTCACCAACATGACTTTCTGTACTATGTATATTGTATAGCTTTATGTAGATCTGATGTCTATTTAATCACTGCCCAATTTAGAATTTAGACATTCCTGTTATTTGAGTGTGCATAACAGCCCTTTCAAGTGTGACCTTTCTGTTGGTATGTATCTTGGGAACAAAAGAAGAATTTCATAACTGACAGCCTTGCCATAATGACTCATTCTTTTTTAAAAACACAGCAACTATCTTAAGCAAATGTCATAATATATATTCCATGGTCAGCATCAATTTGAACAAACTAAGCTGCATTCCACACTGAAACACTGGTGTGCTAATACAAGAAGATGATTGTTCCAGCTGTTTCAGTGGGATTTTTTCACTGTTTTCTG